AATTGTTGATAAGTTATTATGCATATCCTTGGGTGGATGGTCGAGGTGTTTATACACATGGACTTTTATGACCTGAATCCCTGGATTCTTGCATGGTAAATTATCAGTAAACCTGTATTATTTCAACTTATTTATAATCCTATGAAAAATAATCTGACATAATGAACTACTTCACGTTCCACAATAAATTCGAGTTACCTCCCTTTACCTGTTATATCCTAATTTGATATATACAATACTTTACTCACTGGATTTGCTTGCAGATAAATGTTATGTATTTATGTATTAATTCTGGAAAGGCCTGATATAGGCTCGGCCTGTTGTCCAATCCATTTAACATATGGAATGTTAATAAAATTTTGTTGAAATTAACTACATAGGTAATAGCATTAATGGGTAATAGGAATATGAAAGGATCAAGAACCGAACCTTGAAGGACACCACTAGAAATTGTTTTAAAATTAAAAGCATAGAAAATAAGACATTGTTTTCTGTCAGATAAATAACATTCAAACCATTTAAATATATCTCAAAGATACCATATAAGTTTAAATAGAAAACCCTTATGTGCTACCTATGTCACAGAAAACTTATCTGATGTCATTACCTTAATCCAAATTTCAAATTAACAGTATCATACATAGGAATTAAGTGATTGACTGTAGAGTCCATACACTAAATTATTATTATCACAGGGCACCTCACCCCAGTTTTTCAATTGCGCACAGTGCAAATATATACTCAAAATCTGTGTGTTTTATGACTCCCTGTTGACCTGTACATAGGGCCACGCAGGATTTATCAAGTCTGTAATGGGACACAGGATCTCCTGTCTCCATTTCCTATTCTTCCTCTTCAAATTCCATTTGTTAAAAGGAGAAAAGTAAACATCCAATCCAAAGACTGAGCTTAATCACATGACCAATGGCAACTTCTTCTAAGTTATTCTTGCCTAAAGTCACTGTTGTCCTGATCATACCATCCACCTCCCCACCGCCACCTATGTCTTATTGACTGCGTGTCAATTTATCAATTCTCTTGGTTGACCCATCGTCAAATAACCTCATCAACATTTGGGCCTATAACAGTAAACTGACACCATGCAATCACCTGGTCAATTCAGCACCAGAGCAGAGGATACTGTGGATTCATTTATTTTCGTTGGGTTCAATTTTCGTTGTTTCTACAAATTAGACAGTTTCGTGGACTCATAAATTCGTGGATTTTTGATTCTGTGGGAAAAAAATAAAAACGTTAGAATTTTGTCTTTTTGCTTCCAGTCGAATTTTTTTCTGTTTGTATTAAGGCTATGTTCACAGGAATTAACACTGATGACAAGAATAAAAGAACGTTTTTTTTTTCAAGATGGCGTTCTGTGTTTTTATAACGCTGGTTTCTGTTTACAACAGTCTCGCATTAATATCAAACCACAAATCAGTATATATCCTGGCGTGTAATCAATCGGTTGTTTTCAGTGGATAAACATTGTGTGCTGATCAGTCGGTGTACCGCAGTCATATGAAAACACCACGCGTATCGATTGGACCATGTGTGTAAACAGGTGTGTAAACAAGATCTGCAGAAACAATTATGAAGTAAAAACTTAACTCACTGTAGATAGCATAAAGAAATCACAGTGATGAACATATCATTATGTATCTTATCCATCATGTCGTTAACACAGTGGTTAAAATCCGGGAAATTGAATCTGCGAAAGCCTGACGTTCCTGGGCTACCCAACCCTTCAGAAGCACCCAGCAGGGGACAAGCCCTAACATACCAAGCCGCGAATGATGAAACGGAACCAATAATCACCAGTGGTCGTAAACGTAAACGTGGAGAATATCAGACATATGATGATGAAACGAGGGCAAAGATCGCTAGGTATTCCATAGACAACGGGTTAGCGAGATGTGATCGTACGTGGCTTCCAGAAAGCAGGACTAATATGAACTGATTAATAATCATGATATGTTTAGAATGTTCAGAATATCAGAATATTTTGGGGGGGGGGGGGAACATTTAATTTCATTAATGATTCGCAATTCGTAGTTTCTCAGAAGAAAATGTTCATGGACTCCTTAGTGCTGGAATATTATGTCAAGGCGTAGCATTACACGTTTCATAAATGTTTAGGGTGTTAAAAAGTTTTGTATGATCTAGTGCTTACTTTGTTGTTGTTTTCTTCTGATTGAATATTTGAAATGCATAGACTAATTCATTATCTCAACAAATTGTGTCTGTTGTTTTTATTAATAATTATTGTGAACCTGTAGTCGGATAGAAATACGGATCCAATCTTCAATCGACAGGATGGTCCGATCAAGCCTAGTGTCCACAGTGTCGCTAACGACTGCGATCCCATCATACTTAGCATCACAATGGGTAATTACCCTTTGTTATATTTAATGATATATAATTATATATAGTTGACACCAATTTAGCGTATCCATGTCGAGCCTCAGACTACCCGACTCCCGACTAATTACGGGGCTTCTGTCATTACCGGTGGACGTTTCCGGTGTCGGCAAAGATTACTTGGTCAAATTCCAAAATTACTTTAGTAAGTAGTTCATATTTCGCTGTGTTTTTAAATTCGTGGATTTGCTCATCCACGAAAACAACGAAAATTGGACACCCACGAAATAAAATGAATCCACAGTAATCTGGGTTACATACATCAACTTTTTATGGCCAAAGGCACGCCGGTAATTCTCAAGAGATGTTATTCCCAACCATTGTTGACGACTCCTGGATACTTGAAAAGCCAAATTATGACATCCATGACCTTCAATCCAGTCAAAATTCAAAGTAATCTTCTTTACGGATTGTTAGCCATTGCTGGGGCCTATAACAGTAAACTCGCGCCATTTACATTCAAATAACATATAGGTATTATTAACGATGCTGTTTCTTCCTAATCGATCAATTCTATTCCAAAACCTAGAGCTAACTTAACTCAGCAGCAACTCTATACAGCCCAGGCAGTTGAACTGCAGGCTAAAGTAATGTAATTCCAAACTCATGCCAACTTCTGGACATTGAGCGATCAACTGTAGTGCCCATGAACTGCCAAGCAGTCATAGTTTTAGGTCATGTTTATTATGTGTTGTTCATGATAGTATTTAAGCTCCATACTCTTTAGCACCACGGAGTTCATAGCTTTTGGTCATATCTCATCATGTTCAAGGGAAGTAACTGCTGCTACGGTGAGAGGCACCCCACATGTGCAGAATCTGTTAATAAATGTTGTAATGTTATTCTTAAAATGTTTCTTATTTGTGGTGTAAATAATCAAATAGTCTGCTTTCAATAAGGTCAAATGTATTACGTAAAGAACGGATATTCAAATTCAGAATTGAAAGATTATCAGAAATGTTTTATAATTACCGATATGGTTGGGTCCAGTATCAATATAGTATTACCTGTTATTAGGAGTAACAGAACTCGGATGACAAGGAAAATACATATATATCATCCCTATTAACACGAACTGCCATTAAATTGTATTTTAAATGTTTGCATTCAAGATCATTTTCATTAACATTAGATCAAAATGAGAATGTAAAAATTGCAGATATTAAACAAAATATAGTAAAATTGTCGTCTTCTTTTCAGTTCAATTCGCCAGTTTGCCGTCAATAATCATGTACTTTTGACTGGTTGGATGATGCAGTGGTAACGTACTTGCCTTTCATCTAATCGACCGGGATTGAATACTACTATCGGATGTTCGTGGCTAATATTATTTGACAGTTTGTTTCACAATTGTTGTGAAAATGAGTAAGTTTTGTAGTTTATCATATTAATTTTTGTTTGTGTTGTTTTATTATATATTACAAGAATATATAAATGTAAACACTAACAGCTTTCGGCATAATACGATTTTTGGAAACACAGGTCTGTTGGTCTTTTTCATCTTTTTTTATTCTTTCCAAATTCTGTTATTGATTGTTACTCATCCTACAGCAATGGCGATGGTTTCCAGTATTTATCACACATTACAATTATGCCTCAATGCACATTCATTTTACACACTAACAGCTCATTGAACGTCGAAATGACATTGTCGAATGAAATAGAAGTAAAAACATTGCGAATTAAAAGAAACATAATAAAATGCAATTAAAAAGGGCAAACATAATTTTAATGTTTATATCTGCCGAAAAGATGAAGAATTATTTGAATTCATGCAAATATACATTTTTTATTCAGAAAAAAATATGAGCAGGTATATAAATCAATGAATTAAACGACAGCTCCTTGGAGATATAGACTTTTCTGAAACTACAGAAAAAGGTGTAATATTACTTTATGACACGAAGAACAAAACACGTGGATTAGTTTGATCCTTTGATATATGTATACAATTTCGAGTTCGCATAAGGGTATGTTGTTCTGGTTTTGAAGTTGGATTTCTCTCCTTTGTTATCTCCAAAGAGAGTTTCTGTCTGTGATTGGTCAGTTAATACTTTTGAAACCCACTCTAGAGCTATCAAATTACAATTATGTACTTTACCCAGAAAATGCTTCCAGGGTGTAGAGAATGAAAATGATCGTGCAGAGCAGAAACTGAGTAACGTAGTTTTCTGTGAATAATTATTGACCAATTCAGCTACATGCTACTTTGTGGATGATTCTGACTATCTATACGCAAATTATTTTTTGTCCTTGTCGCTGTCGATACAAAAATGAAACGTAAAATCAGCATCTTCAATAACTAGGAGGTAATCTATAGAAACTGATAATAACATATGATATTGTTTTCATTAACTTGTTTTGATATTCTCTTTCTTTCATTCTTTAAATAACATTAAAAACATTATTTCGAACGACGATGAGGTACACATGTTAAGCTTGAAACTTGTTTTATTAGTATAGTGGCGGGAACGGAAGTCTTCATTGTCACCTTGGTTTATGAAATACAATATGTATTTAAACAGAAGAATGGTCTTGTTGGAATGTTTATGTCAAATGACATGTGAGAAATGTTTCGGGATTTAGAGCCATCCGATACTTTCTACGACTTGACCAGCTATGGGTAATAACGACCCGAAAAATCCAAGCAAGCTTTGGCCCACCCATCTAACGCCACTGTACACTGTCTGTGTGAAGGATCTTTTGGTGAACTTCCATTCAATTTCTCCATCGCCTTTCCTCAGCATTATTATCCTGTTATCACAATTGCCGGCTCGGATTCTTATTGTTGTGTTGTCTAGATACATCACCAGTTCACAGTTCCTCATTGTTCTATTTAATTCCTGGGTGGCTAGGCTTTGCGCTTCACGTGCCATCGCTCGTTCCGCCCACGTTAAACGATGCAAATTTTCACGAATTACATAATTAATGGATTCGTCATCGATGATACTGCATGTATAAGTCAGATTCGATCTGTTAGTCTGAGCTTCCTGGAACAAAAAAACATTAGTTTGAATTCATCTATGGTACTATACGTCATATCTGGGGTTCTATAATGTGTAATTTTGAAATAATTATACGACATAAAATCTTCTCTTATTTAAGTAATGAACTGTTACCAGATGGTGGTATGCATTCGATAAGAATACAATTTGCGTGACAGATGAATAGAAAGATAATGTAACTCATGTCTGTAATTGACGACATTTTGTTTGTAACATATTCTACCTTTGTAATGGGACTGTCAGATTGGCGTCTTGACTGCTATACGAATGGGAAATGAGTGTATACATGTTAAGTGTCTCTGATTCTGAAATGTGATAGTGCGGAACTGAAGCAGTCGTTGCCTTGCCAAACTACTGAGCGTTATGTAAGAGTTAGCAATGACAATTTGGTAATTCTCTTTCCTCGCTCTAACAGAGACCAAAAGGTCAAAAGGCAGATATTCGGTAGTACCAACTAATTTAGAGAGACGAGAAAAGATAATGTCAAATATCTACTCGCTTCTTTCAGTAATGAATTAGGACAGCAGGTCCACCTCTTACACCCTAATTACAAGAAAACATTCTGATTGTACCTACCGTTCTGCTCACAAGGCGCCAAATAACCGGTTTCACAAAATATAATCTCCAACAGAAAAAGTGTTTTTGTTCAATTCAAATCAATTTTTAACCTGAATATTCGTGAACACAAATTTGTTTGCTACATAATCTGTTAAACATCACCCTCCAAGGATCTCCTAACCAAATTTGTTCAAACACCCTTAATTCCAACAGGAAAAACTCAGAACTTTAAGCTTATTTAACACAAATGTTGACTTCTTGTATCGCGGTATAATGATATATATCTGTTCGTCCCTAAACATACCTTGGCATATGTCAGCTGAGACCTCTTATAGAAAGTATACCTTATCCCCAGTGTTGAAGAATAGCTATATGCAAAACGTATACTCTGAATTATTTATCCTAAACTGTCAATGATTTCTTGGTGGCAGAAAAAACATATTTGATATGCTAAAGTACATCAGGCACCAATTTTATCTACAATTTATTATCAACAGGTTTCTCATTTCACAGATAAAAACAAGTCATGGCATATTTACTAATTATAGTTTAATAACTGCAGCGATGTTGTAATTAATTTTAAGACTGTACATTTTTGAATTTTCAAAGCAAATGGTATTCGTTTTGAAGAAATTAGAAAAATTGATTTCCTAGCAAAATATTCAAGTTATAAGGGATAAGAGAATGATTGCAGTCTTTTACTATCTTCATCGTCTTTCTCTCTCTCTCTCTCTCTCTCTCTCTCTCTCTCTCTCTCAAACTATCGGTTTTTAGCGGGTCGCGTTCTTGAAAAGATTTTATAATCTTATAAGACGCTTTGACAATTTCGTGCAACATCACTATCTCAATCTACAAGGTAACAACTAAGTTACTTTAATACAGTAACGTGTATTTACCTGCACTGGTGTCTGTCTTTGCTTTGAACTCGAACTTCCCATGTTGTCTAAGGCTTCTGAAAAAAGAGGATGTATTAGTAAATACTTTAATAATAACATCTAAGTACTATAGGTTATTTCTGTGGTAAAATATGATTATATTTGTGACATTTCCTGTTAATACGAAAGTCGTTACTGTCATTCTGTAAACTAATAAGCATTATCTTGTATGTAACTATTATTTGTGTACCAACAGCGACAGGCATATACATCATGTGAATATACAGTATTATAGTAAAGGTGCCTGATTTCAGGATTAATATCTAATGATCATCATATGTATATGTACTGATAATCAAATAAACAAAGGTTTTTAAAACATGTATATTATAAACTGTACACAATTTGTTTTTATGTTCTAGTTAATAAAGTTGAATAGGTTTATTTTTAGTTACTTCCTTGTTCTGTTCTCGGAACACCATACATTAAATCCATTGCTACAGGGAATTGTAAACAAAAATGTTGTTTTTCTTATTCGCCATTGGCAACTGCATCGGAAAGTGAAAACATGGTACATAAGGACTGCATAAACAATACAGAAAAATAACAATGTTGGATAAATTTTCGGTATTAGATATTACAGAAGACCCGTTAGAACACGACTTATATGCCGCTAGACCAACGGGTAGATATGCGTATAATTATAGCCATTGAGGACAGATGATCTGGCAACCACGACTGATCAAATCCTCTGGTCTAGAAAATAAATCAGATTAACGTAAACAAAAGTATTTAGATGTTGAGGATACGTGACTGATTCAGTCCCTACCGGCCATGTTCTTTAGCAAATGAAAAAAAAATTTGATTGAAACTTTAATGTTGAAAAAAAACCCAGATATTTGTATACAAGCACATTCAATTTATTCATTCTAGTCAATGCATCCGAGTTCAAAATGGAGATTAAATCCTCATATATATATATATATATATATATACTATACTGAACTTTTGACAATGTTTCGTTTGTAATAATCGTTATATCAAACTTAATTCCCTATTCTCTGAATGCACGACATTGAATTAAGCGCTTAGTGAGAACAGTAACGCGTTTCTAGACGAGGGATATGTTGTTCTATTACCACTGACAACGTCATTTAAAATTAATAAAGCACATAAGGACTGCCAAAAACATACAAGAACCTTTAAGTACACACATATTAGGAGCATTAACTTTTTATCGCTAGACCAACGGGGAGATGTTTCATTTACGTCATGGTATTAATTACAACATGAGGTGTATTAAACCTGTACTCAAAGCTCTAGTAGATGTCAATTTTAGAACATTGATACGTTTTCTTGTAATGCATATCATGACAAGATGGATTATATTTCACTGCTGTATGAACGAGCACTTTGTAAATATCAAACAAAATTGCTTTCTCATATTGATATATACTCAACAAAAAAGAAAGGTTAACATGTTTCCTTGGCGAATACCTGTAAATGAGTGAAAACAAATAAATAGGTTTATTTTTAGTTACTTCCTTGTTCTGTTCTCGGAACACCATACATTAAATCCATTGCTACAGGGAATTGTAAACAAAAATGT